AAAATAAATAAAATTGTTGGCAAGGATGTGGAGAAACTGGAATCCTTGCACACTGTTGAGGGATTGCAAAATGGGAAAGCATCTGTGAAAAAATAGTATGGAGGTTCCTCAAAAAACTAAAAACAGGCTTTGGAGATGTAGTTCAGTAGTAGAACACTCACTAGGATGCATAAGGCCCTGGGTTTGATCCCTAACACCACATTAAAAAAAAAAAAAGAAAGAAAGAAAGAAACGAAAAACAAACAAAACTCCCTAAATTAAAAATAGTGTTAATTACCATACAATCTAGCAATTCCACTTCTAGGTATAAACCACACAAAAGAAATTAACACAGACTGGGGATGTAGCTCAATGCTCCTAGCATGCACAAAGCTCTGTTCAGCACACACACACAAAAAGAAATGAACACAGGATCTTGAAGGAATATGTGTATACCCATGTTCATAGCAGCATTAGTAACAACAGCTAAAATGTAGAAGCAACCCAAGCATATATACCTACAATGTGGTATATATCTATAATGTTATCCAGCCTTAAAAAGAAAGAAAATGCAGCCTTTTGTTACAACATTAATGAACCTTGAGGGCATTATTCTAAGTGAAAAAAGATAGCCACCAAAAGACAAATCTTGTATAAGTTTACACTTGAGCAGCCAAAGCCACAAAGACCAAAAGTAGAATGGTGGTTATGAGGGGCTAAGGAGAGGGAGGAATGAGAATGGGTACAGTTTCAGTTTTACAAGATGAAAAGAGCTGTAGAAGTGAATGGTGGTGATGGTTGCACAACACTGTATTTAACATTGCTGAACTATATGCTTAATCATTGTTAAAGATGGCAAATTTTATAAGTGTCAAGCACAATATTAAAAATTGGAGGGGGAAAGTGTGTCATGTGTAAGACATAATGTTTAGCATTGCAATAAGAAGTCAGGAGCTGAACTGTCCCATTGGTATGTGAGACAAAATGAATTAATTTAAACAAAGAACAAGGAAAAAAAAAACACCAAAAAGCTTTGTAGATGTACTCAAGTGACTAAAAGAAACTAAATTGAAAGCCCAAAATAAATTAAAATTAAATCAGATCTGGTCCTCTCTCCTTATCAACGTATAGGACATTCCCTGCTTCCCTCTTGTCTCCAAAATAAAACAAATCCACATCCCACGCAACTTTTGGGGGCTAAGTTTATGCATAAGCTTATTGATTATGGACAGGAGTGCTGAAAATATTTTCAGACAAACAGTAGAGATGAAACAGAATTAGGATGTCTTTTTATGTATCAAAAAAGGTGGATAATATCACCAACATTCTTGTTACCATAAGCATAGACAAAAGGGAATGAAATAGAACAAACAGAAAATCTAACTAAAATGTTGATTAGTGGAAATGAAGGTAAAGGTCTGCTGTTTTTGTGAGCTCTCATTTTATCTCTATGCTCATGTCCTTTTGATTAATCTGAAAAAACAAAAACAACAACAAAAACCCAGCCACTGTCTTATAAAGAGACAACCTGCCAGAAAAAGTTGCCGGGCTTTTCAGTCACTCTTCTGCATCACCTTTATAGGCTTTGGACATGCTGTGTCACTGAATATATCTGACTTCAGAAAAATACTCAAAATAATGGAAAATGAATTTCTTTACGATTACAGGATAAACATACAAATATGTTCTAAATAAAAGGTCAAGATCCAAAAACTATTTTATTTTTATCACTTTTCAAAGAAACAACTTTAAAAAAATTAGAACTAAGTATTAGATCTAAGAACCAATAATCTTACTTTAATAACAGTAAAAAAAGTAATGTGGTGGCAGTGGCAGCAGCTCCTGTTTACTAAGAGCTTATTCAGCACTGGGGACAGGGTGCTTTATGAACTTCTCATTTAATCATCATCATAATCCTACAGGTTTGATAATGCACAACCATAAACGAGTCTATCTAGGATTACTCATACATTACATTTTTCTTTGAAACAAAGTATTTTACACATACACACACACACACACACACTTAGAAAAATAACTAACGAATGGGGGGAGGAGAATGGGAGATGACTTTGAAATATCCTTATTCTTTAAAAATTAAGCATTACATATGTATACTTCGCATGCATGTGCATATAAACACACACAGAAATTATTTTCAGAGTTGCTACAGAGAGCAGATTTTAATAGATTTATAATTCTAGTAAGTTCCTAAAATAGCTCTTGTGGTTGATGCAGTTTTCTCTGTATTTAAGTGGATTAGCCTAAAGTCATTACTGCTCAAAATGATACTAATCACTTTAATTCCAATTAAAGGGACATGTAGAACCATTATAGACAAAGAGCTAAGTCAGCAGCAACCTCAATTTTCCAGGAAAGCCTTTGAGAAATATTCATAATCTTGTCTGTGGCTCTTATTTTACAGTGAAGTCTAGATTTTTTATCAAAGCAACTTTTAAAATAAAGGCATGTTTAAAGAAAAAAGGAAACGTCACAAAGAAAAAAAAGTAGTCTTTTTAAAAAATTTGATTTTAGTGGCTGGGGGTGTAGCTGAGGGCTGAAGTGCTTACCTAACATGTACAAGGCCCTGGGTTTGATCCCCAGAACTGTAAAAACCAAAATATTTGATTAAAAAAAAACTATGAAATTATGTTCTCTTTTGACAAATATTGTGCTGTTATTAGATATTAAATTCATTCTACAGAGAAATCCTTACCAAATATTTTTAACTAGCATAACAATTAGTATCAAAGTTCTTTTCCCTCACATCCTTAACTTATATCTGATTCCCACCCCCCCAAAAAAGGAAGTCCATTTACTTGAGTTTATGTCAATTTTATTTTAATATTAGTGTTTACAGTTTAGATTTCTAGTGTCTCTGAAGTATGAAAAAATTACAGTGGGTGAAAATGGTTTATAAAAATCTTTTTAGGATATGATTTATTGCAGTTAACCTGATTATTTATTTGTTTAATTTTTCTGGTACTGGGGATTGAACCAAGGGGTGCTTTTACCACTGAGCCACATTCCCAGCCTTATTTTTTATTTTATTTTATTTTTTTTTGAGACAGGGTCTCACTTAAGTTACTTAGGGTCTCTATAAGTTTCTGAGGCTGACCTCAAATTTAAGATTCTCTACCTCAGCCTCCTGAGTCACTGGGATTACAGATGTGTGCCACCACACCCAACAACCTGATTAATTTTTAAGGGCACAATTTTAAGAAAGTTGAAAGAATGATCTATAGCTGCAGAAAAAAGAATATGCTTTTTTTTTCCAAATATTTATTTTTTAGTTGTAGTTGGGCACAATACCTTTATTTCCAACTACAATAAATTATTATTTATTTTTATGTGGTGCTGAGGATCGAACCCAGAGTCCCGTAAGTACAAGGCAAGCACTCTACAGCTGAGCCAAAACCTTAGTCCAAGAATATGAAGAAAATTATATTTTGAAAACTCACAGAGCAGAGACTAAAGATAACATACCTACAAACTCAGTTCAATGTTAAATAATATACCTGCCAAAAGTAACTAAAATAATATAGATTTGACTGAAAAATAACAAGGGTATGTTTTATTTGTACTCTGGTTGTTTCTATGCAGTTTTTAATTGAGCCATATTTTGAAAAATGGAACTTTAAGTGCTTAAAAAGTAGAAAATAAAATTTTAAGTGCTCAAAAGAGGAACCCATGTTAATTTCTTCATGAATCAGTTAATGCCAAAGTTGTTTCTTTGAAAACCTGAATATATCTTTATTGCTTAAATTACTATTTGTAAAAAAAAAAATATATATATATATATATATAAAATGAATACCATTCATATTCTTATAAAGTACAAATAGTCTTATGATAAAGTAGGAAGTCCTGTTGCTACAAATTTGATCTCGAATAGAAAGTAAGAAAACTAGAAAATGCATTAATTCTAACTTAGTTTTTCTCAGAGAAAATACACGCATATATATGTATTTTTTCCCAGTGCTAGAGATGGTACACAGGCCTTATACATGCTAGGAAATTACTTTATCTCTGAGCTATATCACCAGCCCCAGAGAACAATAAATTTTAACATCAGCCTATTAATTTTCTAACAGACAAGCCACAAAATTTTTAACTATTTTAATACTAGACATTGTGACCCTATTTTTATAAATTATTTTAAAAATTATCAATGCTTAAGTATATGTCATTTTAAGAGAAATGTTCTTGAAATGAAATTAATACAAGTATTATTACTCGAATGTTGTAATTAAAAGCCAGGGTTAAATCCTAGCTCTTTCACTTATTAGGACTGCCATCTTGGAGAAATTAATTGCTTGATCTCTCTATGCTTCAGTTTCCTCATTTATTGAAACATGAAGATAGTAGTTCCTTACTCATAAGGTTGGTATGATGATTAAAAGTAGTTAATTAGGCTGGGGATGTGGCTCAAGCAGTAGCACACTCGCCTGGCATGTGTGGGGTGCTGGGTTCGATCCTCAGCACCACATAAAAATAACATAAAGATGTTCTGTCCACTGAAAACTAAAAAATAAATATTAAAAAATTCTCTCTCTCTCTCAAAAAAAAAAAAAAAAGCAGTTAATCTTGTGTGTGTGCACGGGCACATACTCGGTGATGGGGACCAAACCTAGGATCTGACACATGCTAGGTAAGTGCTCTACCACTGATCTACATCACGATCCTAGAAGTTGATCTTAAACAGCACTCAGAACAATGCCATACAAAAAAGTATTCAATAACTTGTATGATATGATTATTATTGGTTGTTCTGGGGCTTATGATGGAATACAACAAAATTTCAAATTCTCTTCTCTTGTTGGATTTTAACATAATGAAGTCAAAGAAGACAGAATGAAAATTTCTCATCAGGAAGTTGTTACAATTTCTGACCTACCAGTAACCTGATTTACTATAACATTTCCATTTTGTTGTGCTTATAATGATTGAAATTAAATGCATTAAAAAAAACAAGATCTAATGATACCCTTCACTGAGATATCAATACAAAGATTACCCACCTGTGCAACTCTTCTGTTTTGTCTTCAGTTGGACCTACGATTAGTAAACAGTGGCGAAGGACAGCTGCCATGACACGGAACTGATGAGAGTCACTCTATGGTCAAAAAAGAAAAGGAGAGGAAAAATTGGGAGATGAATGCCTTAAGGAAAAAGTCCAGCACATTACTATAACACCTGTTCCTCCAAACCTTCTTACACTATACAGGGAGATAGCAGGATACTCTAGAAAGAATTCCCAAGGCACTACTAAGTAAATAGTCACTATCTTATTTCAACAACTCCAACCACTTCCAGTAATGGCTGACACCAGTGACTTTCTGATCTAGCCACTCTGTTTTATCTTTGATGAAGATTCAATTCTACTCATTTTGTTTTATTTTTCCATTTTCAGAAAGTCAAGATTCTTTCTTCCTCTGGTAAACTGCTCCAATTCACTAATCATTATCAAAGTTCAAATTGGAATAGTTATTTTGAGTTGGTTGTTCATCCTTAATAAAAAATGTCTGCTCTCAACTTTCAAAAATAGTTCATCAATTTCATTTTGATCAATCCTCTTAATCTCCCAGTTCCTACAAAACTACCAGAAAGTGAGTCAAAAAAAAGTGATCTGAGTTTATCTCCTCCTACTTTGCCAAAAACAACCGTTGGCAATGGTATTAAAGATCTGCATCAAGGTCCTATCTCTTAAGAAATTAATATGACACAGGAAATCAGAGATAATTAAGATAGAGATCCTGGATATGCCATACTTCAGAAAGCTCTAAACACTTGAAATACTATTAAAATTTTCAAAAATTTCTTAGCATATACCTGATTTCAAGTCCATGTAAAGTGAAGTACATCTCACTCACACACACTATATATATATATATATATATATATACACACACACACACACACACACACACACACACACACACACATACATATACAAACACATACACACAGGCCCTTTAAGGGAGATGTCTCTCATCTAGCATACAGGGTAAACTTTCATTACTTATGTGGGTGATAATATTTTAAAAACATGTACATTTACAAGAGATGAAGGTATTAATGGAAAAAGTACTGGATATGGAGTCAGAAGCCTACCTTATGACCTAAAACAATTCATACAGCTTCCTGAACCTTGGTTTCCCCACATGCATCTCCACAAACACAAGGCTCTTAGGATTAAGTTAAAGAAAATGTCATGCATAAAAATGCTTTAAAACTTTCAATAAAATATGTGAGGGTGTGGGGGAAGAAGTCAAAGAGTGAGACTGTGAAGTGATAAACAACTGTGTGGGTAGGAAGAGAGGGAAAAGAGAAAGAGGGACCAGTGGAATGCCAGAGGCACTGAGACTGCAGGGTTCATCATCCATCCCCAAATGCTTGGGTGAAAATTCTCTCATATGTAAATATACTTTCACTTACCACAAATTACATGAGGTATACTAAAACCCATGCCAAACTCAACTATTACTTAACTCTTGATAAGGTCACATTTTCCTGGGTTTTGAAAATTAACTGGGGGATCTACTTCCTTTTGTTCTATATATAACACTCTTTCTCTTCTCATGCTGATGGTGACAAGCCTCCTGCAAAAGTATCCATTATGGTCTGTTATTTGTAACTGTAAACCCAAATCCTACTTTCCATTGCATCTCCTCCTTTTCTAGTTTTTAATAACACCTATTCCCAAGTTATACTTTCTGACTGCAATGCTCTCTTTTACCCAACATTTACTAAGTTCTCTCCATTCTCTACTCAAAACAACTTCTGAAATGACTGGATTATTTGCCTCTGCTCTTTACATTGCTGATTGTTTTTCATCCTCCAGATCTCAGCTAAAACATCTTCTTAGAGAAGCCCCTTCTCTGATCACTGATCTAAGTATATTCCTTCATGATTCTCTATCTTAAAGATTTCTTTTCATGAAACCATAATTTGTAACTTCACATTTGTTTACTTACTCATATATCTTTGTTTTCTCCACTAATCTATTACCCTCATGAAGATGAGGGCACTGCTTTAATAGGTGATCAACAGTTTTGTTTTGTTTTTTTATAAATATTTTTTTAGTTGTTGATGGACCTTTATTTTATTCATTTATGTATATGCGGTGCTGAGAATCAAACCCAGTGCCTCATACATGTGAGGCAAGTGCTCTATCACTGAGCCCCAGCCCCAGCCCATGATCAACAGGTTTTAATGTAAATGTTGTATAATATGAATAAGCAGAAAAATGCCCAAATTATAAGTGTGTAGCTAGATAACTTCTCACAAAATGAGCACATCAATTAAAAAATCATGCAAGGCCAAGATTAAGAGCCCCAGAATTCTCCTCACACTCCCTCCAATGACAGCCTTCTGCTCCTGAAAAGTAATCCTAACTTCTAATATCACAGGTTAGTGTTGTCACTGAACTTTACATGAATGGACCCATAAAGTATAGACCCTCTTGCCAGTGACTGTGAGATTCACCCATGTTGTTGTATGTAGTTAGTTTTTTCTTTTCCACTGCTTGGGAGCAGCGCTATACAAAGTGTGGTGCTGGTCCACACCCTGTTTGTCACTCATCTTCAAAGTCATGAGTACAGAAGGTATCGAGGGAACATTTATAAACTTTTTGAGCATTTGGACATTGTGTGTAATACTGGATCGTACAAGACTTTCATTCTGACAGCTAGGGAAAAAAATCTTGTCCCTCCACCACAGATGGGTTAAGAAAGCACTGTTATACGGTGTTCTAGTGTATAAATGTATTATCATTAACTTATCTATCCTACTCTTTAAAAAAATATTTTTAGTTGTAGATTGACAACAATACCTTTATTTTGTTTATTTTGTGTGTGTGTGTGTGTGTGTGTGTGTGTTTTTAATGTGGTGCTGGGGATTGAACCCAGTGCCTCATGCATGCTAGGCAAGAGTTCTACTACTGAGCCACAGCCCCAGCTCCATCCTACTCTTGATGACACTTGAATTGTTGAATGTTTGGGGGGTATTCTAACAAGTGCTGCAATAAACATGCTTTTTACATGTCATCTGGAATGCACGTGTATACATCCAGGAGAGGGGATACTGAGTCACAGGGAACACACATACATCAAGCTTTATAAGGTACTGTCAGTGTTTTAACCTATACTTATAATAGTTTCTTTATAATTTCATTGATACTGAATATTGTCAGCTTTTTAAACATTAGTCATTCTCATGGATATGTAGGTTATTTTTTGTTTTAATTTGCATTTTCATGATGACTAATAAAACTGAACACCTATTTTTATTGTATGTCTTATGTTTATTTGGTCATTTGGAAAGCCTGTTTTGAAAGTTCCTATTTAAACCTTTTGTCTATTTTTCTATTGTGTTGACTTATTTATCCTTATGGATTTGTAAGACTTTCTAATGAGTTCTGAATATTTTATTGTACATATGTGCTGCAAATATCTTGTCCCACTTAGTGGGCTGCCATTTTCCTTTCTTCTTCTAAGGTACTCATTTTAATGAAGGACAATTTTTTCCTTTAGATATGATCCATATTGTATTCCATTTTATTTGGAAATATTTTCTTATTTAAGAAATGTTTGGCTAGGCATGATGGTACATGCCTATAACCCCAGCAACTCAGAAGACCGAGGCAGGAAGATCGAAAGTTCAAGGCCAACCTCAGTAACTTAGCAGGACCCTGTCTCAAATTTTTAAAAATAATAAAGTAAAGAGGGCTGGGGATGCAGCTTTGTGGTAGAACGCCCCTAGGTTCAATCTCCGGTACTACACAAAAAAAGAAAGGTTTAACTTATTTGAGATAAAGTCACAGCAGTAAACTTTTAGAAGCCTTATTATTTTATCCTGTTTTATTTAGATCTCTTACATAACTCAACTTCTCTTTTGGGGTATACAATATAAGGTAAGGATTCAAAACTGTTTTTTTTTCCATACAAATGATCCAGAACTATTTGTGAAAAACCCCACTGTACTTCCATGTCACCTGTATCATAAACCAGTTGACTACAGATATGCAGGTTTATTTCTAGATTTTTATTCTATTCCATCAGTCAATGTCTCAATAAATAACTGTTAAAGCAATGCTATCATTTAAGAAATCTTACTTAACAAAGGTTATTGTGGCCACTACTTCCCACTGTTGGTTACTCTGCTGTGTGACTTTTCTTAATGTTCCAATCTCTGATGTCCTCATCTCTTAAGTGGGGTTAATAATGCTGCTCACAAGAATACCAGAAGGACTGAATGTGATTGCTCTTACAAAACAGTATATAATCACAGCTTTTACAACTGTTATTTACTTGCTTCATGATTTAGTTTTTGTATCTTTAGGATATCAACATTTGCTACTCTAAAATGATATCACTTCCAAAGGTTGAGGGGGGAAAATCCCTCAGAACAAAGAGCAGAGGAAGAAAAAGTGAGAAAGTAGGTTTGGTTGTAACAGTGGAAATTAAAATCAGATAACATTAAAAGCAAGATAAAAATTATCAAATTCTTTGGAATTTCTTTACAAAGGCTTTGCTTCTTAATTACAGATTCCGTTATTATATGAAATCCTTTTCCCCCTCCTTTGCAAACTGTGGAAGATTTAATTTTATTTAGAAAAAAAATATCCATTTTCCTATCTTTTTATTCAAATTTTAACCTTTCTAATCAATGCCAGAGAAAAAGCCCAAAGATCCAGAATATACAGCACCTGAAGCTGCTGTGCACTGCTGAAGTGATTATTGTTTTTAAGCATACAGAAAATATAGAAAATAATAATATATAATATTACAAACAGCTTGCTTTATTTTGAATGTTCCCTCCAAACTTCATATTGAAATCTAGTTTTCATTTAACTGTACTGGGTGGGTAGGATCTTTAAGAAATGTTTAGGTCATGTATGAATGGATTCATGCTATTATAATGGGAGTGGGTTAGGATAAATTCTGGTGAGTCCTAGCACCCTTATATGTTCACAGGTTCTCTCATGCACACACATGCATGCTCTTTCACCATATGATGCCTTAGCAAAAAGACCTCACCAGTTATGATCCCTGGATTTTGGACTTCATATAGACTCCAAAGCCATGAGCAAAATAAACCTCTATTATTTATAAATTATCAGACTGGTATTCTGTGATAGCAACAGAAAATGTACCAAGACAGAACCACACAACCGCTTGTGTAGAGTTTTTTGGGGGAGGGGAAGCAGCAATTGGAAATGGAACCCAGGAGTGCTTTGCCACTGAGCTATATCTCCAGCTCTTTCTATTTTTTTATTTTGAGATGGGGGTTTCACTAAGTTGCTGAGGCTGACCTTCAATTTATGATCCTCCTGCCTCAGCCTACAGAATTGCAAGGATTATAGGTGTGTGCTACCATGTCCGGCTCCACCTGTGTTTACATGACTAATTTCTCTACTAGGTTTTTACTGCCTTGAAGACAGTGATGTTTTACCTTGCATTCTGTGTATCTAACATAAAAGGTGGCACGAACTGGATACTTAATGTTTGTTGAAAAATTTATTCAACAAGAAAAAACTGCACAGCCTGAAGCTTTATTTTTAAGTAATATCCTATCCTTTTCTACATTTCCTTCAAAGTCTCTAAATAATGAGGGAACTAACCTCTTCTGTTACAGTGTGACATTCTCAATAACTTCTGTGAGCACTCACTGTTTTATCTCATTCAAACAGCATCTTTTGACTCCTTAAAAACAAGTATTTTTGTTTGCACTTAGTTTTCTGGCTCTATCAAGTCTACTGGTCCTTGTACTTCCTTATTACCCTGCATTGATACTTAGGAAGCACCAGACAGGGAAATGTGTACTACATAAAGGACCCATAGATTAACATGCTCTCCTCCATCAACAGAGATTTAGGAAAATGTTGAAGCAGGAAGAAGACAAGGCCATTTCAATTAACTTTTCTACAGCTAACTTTATGTCCTGCTAAAGGAATCATTCAACCTTTTCAAATATACTATCTCTAGGAAAGGGAGAGAAAGAGGAGACAAGGAGTAGGGAGGGAGGGAGACTCTGTCTCTACACATGGAAATAAAGCCAGCTACATTTCCCACGAAAAGGAAATCTCCAAATAATCTGCTGATGGTATCAACAGGCAGGCAGGAATTCAACACTGAGGCCTAAATCTGAAATGCACAAATGGCACTAATTTGCTAAACCTCATGAAACATCTAGTCCTTCATTTTCTGTTTTTTGTGAACTACAAATGAAGGAAGTCATAAAAATACTTGTTAAAACAGTTAAAACCAAAACCAAATGTCTGTATTTTTCTGTAACTGTTAGGCTAAGTAATTGTGAAACAGGCAAAAAACTACAGAAGTGAAATAAATGCCTAGCATTTGGAAAGGTATATTCAGCACCCTTCTTTTGAAGTCAGTTGGGCAATAGCTATCAATCAAAAAAACCTGAAAATTTTGAAATGCTCTGGCCCATCAATTTCAGGTTATTTACTAAAACTTTTACAACCAGAGAATTTACTATATTGATATTTAAAATAGCAAGCAATTATGATTTAAGTGCCTCCAAACAGGATTTGTCAAAGGTTGAGAATCCTTATGAAGGAATATTCATAAATATTTTTATATTTATACTTAATAGTATTCTTTGTGGGGGGGGGGGGGGGGGGGGGTTTACTGGGGATTGAACTCAGGAGCACTTAAACACTGAACCACATTCCCAGCTCTATTTTGTATTTTTTTTAGAGACAGGGTCTCACTGAGTTGCTTAGCACCTCACTTTTGCTGAGGCTTACTTTTGAACTTGGGATCCTCCTGCCTCAGCCTCCTGAGCTTCTGGGATTACAGGCGTGTGCCACCGTGCCAGGGTGAAGTATTCTACATGCTCACAAGTATTTGTATGCATTCTTTCATAAGGATTTATCATCTTCAACAAATAGGAGTTACAGAGTAGTTGTCAAAGTTTTGGGTTTTTTTGCAGAACTCTTTTTTATCCTCCAAATGAAATCTTAATTACAAACCTAAATTAAAACAACAGCAATAGCAACAACAATAGCAACAACAATCAAAGGTGCTGTTTTATAAAGTGGAAGTGGGGAACCTGGGATACCACTCACCCACACCTAGAGGATACTCCTAGGAACCTCCCAGCTTCAAGAAACGCATTTTTGAAAACTAATACTCTGTGTAAGTGTGTGGGGAGTTACTGGGGATCAAACCCATGGCCTCACCCATGCCCAGTAAGCGCTCTCCACAGAGTTAACATCCCCAGAGTTGAAAACTAGTAACTAGACTTCAAGAACATTGGTTGTGCAACAAAGATGAAAATAATAAAATGATTACATTTTGTGTGTATGTGAATATATATAGAGAGAAATATACAGACAGAAATATATATTTCTATTTATATATTACATAACGGAGAATGGTTAGAAAGATACACATCAAAAGGCAAACAGTGCTTATCTTCTCAGGGGTGAGTTTTCAGGTAGTTTGTATTTTCTTGCTTCTATGTTTTTTTTTCCTAGATCCTCTACAATGAGCCTCTAGTTATTTTTAAAGTTAGATTCTTTTGATTAATAAGTTTTTCATATTTGTTAACTAGTCTTTGGGTGCTTGCTCAAAGTAAAACACTTCAGTTGACAAACTAAGGAGATCTTGAAACCCAGTAAACAGATTCTTAGTAGTAAGTCTCTCTGCCCTGATATGAGGTTTCTTTGAACTAAGTTGTGACTATCTTCCTAAAAACTCCTGTTTTGGTTTCTGTGGTCTTTTCACATGCTACACAATTTCTAGGAACCATTCATCCCTCTATTCTTCAGATGGCTGAATCATTCTGAATCTTCAGATCTCAGAAAAGACTTTCAGAGTCTTCTGTAACTATATTATATATTGTCAATCATTGCATTGTTCTCTCATAGCAAATAACACAATTTCAATTATGTAATTTTTACTGATTTATCACCTATTTCACCCACAAAATGGAGGTTTCATAAACAATGCCTGTTATTTGCCAATACATTATATAATGCCCAGTGTAATGTCTAGTAATTGTCCATAAATATTTGGACAATGATAAATGATAAATGTTTGCTAAGAGCTGAATTTGGAGACTCATGAAGACATTCTTTTCTAAATGGTTGGCAAAGATCCTATTTTCAATACTATTTATATTTCTGAAAACTTCAACCATAGCCAAGAGTCATGCTGATTTTGCACATTTTGTAATGGCTGTATCAATTGATCCAGACTCAAACAGGTAGTAGGAGGTCTGAGATACCTAATCTTGGAATACTGGCCCTTTATCAGTAGATACTTTTGTTTTGGAGAAAAAACATTCTATAACACAGAATAAGTATATGCTACTTCAACATTTTCTAAAGCTCCTTCCAGTCCCTCTGTTACTTATAACTAAAGCACACTAATAAGGGCTAATCTTAATTTACTAATTTTCATTACATGTCATCCCACATATCTACTGATGTGCAGCCACTAAATTATAAAGTGTTTTTGTTAGGAATCTGAACACTATGAGCTACTATTTTAGGTATAACTTAAAATAATAGGGACTCCAACAATGGCAAACCAACAGTCTTAGAGTACCTCTTACAACTAAATGAAGAACTTAAAAAACACCAAAACAAACAGTGTAAGAAAAATAACCATAGAAGGTACCAAATAAGAATAGAGACATAACATTTCAAATACTTCCAAATATTTGGTTTCAAAGCATAAATGGAGCATGTGGGCTTTCCACATCTTTTCCTGCCAACTCTCAGGAAAAAACTGACCATGCTACAGTCATCTAAAACAGCTGTTAGGACTGATCTTCAAATATTTGGTTTCAAAATACAGACCTATCTGCACTTTAAAACTCATGCCTGCATATTCTCACTATAGCACTGCATTGAGATAATCCTTTTAAAGTAGTTTTCTGGCAAATACAGATCTTTATTCATGGGTGAGAATTATTTCAAATGGACACATCAAAATATTAACCTAAATCCTAAAGTCAGATGTCTTTTTTTTTTTTTTAAAGGCACAGTCTAAATTTCACTAGTCATTTATGGTTAAAGAGAGAGAAAATGTGAAATGTCTGGATTTTAGAAGAAAGGAACAGTTTATGTTCATTTTACTTAAAATTGTTGATTTCCTTAAGCCAAGTTTCATTGTTAGCATATTGTTCTTGTGGGTATTCAAATATAAACTACCAAATCTGCCTCATTTTGGTTTGCTGGAAGGTCCAAGCCTCAGAAGACTCTTAGACTAGAAATAAGTTAAATGGTTTGAAATAACCTTTCTCATCCCCTTGAGTAATTATGTTTGTTTTCTAGAATTATGTATAAGCATGGATATCTCTAGTTTGTAGTCCTATATTTTTGACAGTTATCTTACACTACATAGGAACACCTAGGAGAATAGGCTAATAGGTATACATACACATAAGATTTTTTTCTTCTTCTGAGCTGACATCAAAGACTTATCAGTTTTAATTGACTGGCATTATCTGAGCTTTTAAGGTGGCAGCCATCAAAAATACCTATACCTTTATTAACTGCCTTGTTTTATTTCCCTTTAAATCTTATCTTGTTCATGAAAAAGACTCTGAAAAAGACAGTGATAGTACAAGTCAGAAAACTATATTTGGCATCTTACAAAACAGTAGTTCATCTCCACCCCAGTCTTCCAACAGGTATTACACAAATGGAAAGAATAAGATTTAGTAATGGTTAAGAAATATCACAGTTCATACAACTGATTCATGGAGGAACTGGTAACTTTTTCCATTTTCCAATTTAGCATGCTTCCCTTGCAGACAGCTTTAAGAACATACCAGACAATTAAACTCCAGGTAGATAAGAATACCATTCTCAACCTTACCTCTTTATGCACCTTCCAACTGTCTACTGTCACATTGAAGAGAGCTTTGAGGGCCTCAATGGCACAGTCTGTCTCCTGAGGTGAGAGAGGAGGTCCATTATGATCTATGGCCGACTCATACTCATCGGTCCACTTGATGCTAAAGGCACTTTCCAAGATCTGGGTTAGCAGCGGTAGTCCCTGGAGCTCATAGCGCAATTGTGACCTGATGTCAGTGTGCAAAAGTGACAGGAGAAAGAGCAAGCGCAAGTCAAAGCACTTAATGTCATTGATAAATTTTCGGTCCTTGCACTTTCTCAGGAGGTTACAGAGCTTTGCAGCAAGATTAAGTTCCAGGCTGAGCTGCTGTGCCATCTGACTGTTGAACACTATGTTACATAGACACTTTAATGATTCCACAATAACTGGGAACTCTGACACCTTCTCCAAAGAATCATCCGACTCAGTTAGCTTGGCTAGTCTCAGCAATATCTGCATGTTTTCCTTGGTTGTTACAGGAACTAAAATCTTTTTGTCTCTGGAGAGAATGCGGAGTACTTCCAGGCAGGACACTTGACATGTTGTTGGGACGTCCTTTACAAGGACTTTAAATATGCCTTCACAGAGTTTCTGAAAAACAAGAGAGTATGCAAAAACTATTATTTGATTTTCAACATCAGACTAAACAGTATCAGGTTTGAAGGCAATCAGTCTGAATCATAGCTATTCCCTCCTCAGAAATAAAGATTAAGAACTAGTTCACAATTGCCCATACTACATGCTCTTTTTTGTAAAATAACTGAAGGAGATAAGCATTTCTGCTAATGTTTAGTTGTGCTCTTTCTTCTAAATATTTCTTAATATTTCTTCCATGGCAGTCATCCCAAGTGTCCCTCTTCTTTAGCTAAAATCTAATAATACTTACTCATCAAATGACCCAGAGAAGTACTTTTGCTGACAAAAACTGATAAAAGTTATTCCAAATATGGGGTTCCAAAGAGGGTTCAGCTAGCATATATTATGTTTTGAACCAATTGCAAAAAAAAAGGTGACCCCTCTAGGCAGACTAGATGCTAAAAAGGTTCCCTCTAGATGGGCAAACTAGGAAAAAGTCTCTCTTCCTCTGGGCAGCCCTGTGCTAAGACATATTGTTTGGGAAGCTCTGAGAAGATAGAATCTTAACTCTCCTTTGTTGCCTTGGTGTAGGGTGCAGATTGTAACAGTAACAGTAATACATAGTAGTGGTGGATCCAAATTTTGCTAACATCATCTCAGAAACAATTCTTTTAGGATGAACCCAAAGTATACTCAATCTTATTTGTGTGAAAATTATTTATACTATTGTCAGATTTAAAAATCACAGATCATTCCCTCCAAATTCAATGTAAGCTTTCTCTTACCCTTATATGTGGATCAAACAAGTATACTCATTTCATTGCTGGATACTACTATACACCCTTACATTTTATAAAAACAACAACAATTACCAATATAAGATATTAACTTACTGACAGACTTAAATCCTTGAAAAAGAGGCTACCTGGGGTCAAACATGATCTTGGCAAGAATCCCAGACTATGTGCAACTTTTCAGTATATCCTGGTCATACAGCTATGGAAATACTAACTTTAAATGAAAATATGTTCTCTAAATAGAGATGGAAAGGACCCTTACCTGACAAGCTAAAAAAAAATTCATAAAATGACAACTTTATCCTGTCATATCTGATAACTAAAAGTGACTTTCTTTTAGTGTTTTAATGTCAATGTTACAGCAGGAATTTTTTTTTTTACTTATTTATTTTTTTTTTGCTTTTGTACTGGGATTGAACCCCGGGTGCATTACCACTGAACTGCATCCCCAATTCTTTTTACTTTTTGATGTTGAGATAGGATCTTGCCAAGTTGCTGAGACTGGCCTTGAACTTGAGATCCTCCTATCTCAGCCTCCTGAGTTGCTAGGATTACAAATGTGCACCACTATGCCTGGCAAGAATACCCACAGAAATTAAAATCAGCATGCAATAACGACACTAGCCACATCAAGTTTAAGGCCAGTCTAGGAAATTTAGCAAGGCCTTGTCTCAAAATTAAAAATAAGGGTTGGGGATGTAACTCAGTAGTAGAGCACCACTGGTTTCAATCCCCTGTATCATGATCCCCTGTATCATCCCTTTTAGGGATACAAATAGAAGGAAAGAAGTCAAATAATCACCGTTTGCAAATCATTTGATAATGTATTTAGAAAATCCAAAAAATCTGACCAGAAAACTGCAGAGCTAATTAATTCAGCCTAGCAGCAATATACTAAATCAACATAGAACAAACAAAAGAATCACCTAAGAATAAATCTAACCAAGAAAATAAAAGACCTCTACAATGAAAATTATAAAACACTGAAAAAAGAAATTGAAGAAGATATTAGAAGATGAAAAGACCACCCCTGTTCATGGATAGGCAGACTTAATATTGTTAAAATGGCCATATTACCAAAATGAATCTAAAGAGTCAATCAATTCCCGTGAAAATACCAAAGATATTCTTCACAGAACTAGAACAAACAGTTACAAAATCCATATGGAAAAATAAAAGACCCAGAATAGTCAAAGCAACTATAAGCAAAAGGCTGGAGGCATCGCAATACCAAATTTTAAATTATACTACAGAACTACAGTAACAAAAACAGCATAGAACTGGCATAAAAATGGACACACAGACCAATGGAACAGAACAAAAGTCACGGAAACAAACTCACAACAAAGATACAATCATGTGATCCTTGATAAAGATGCCAAAAACATTCAATGGAAAAAAGGCAGCCTTTTTAACAAATGGTGCTAGCAAACTGGATATCCGTATGTAGAAGAATAAAACTAGATCCCTATCTCTTGCCCTGCATAAAAGTCAACTCAAAATGGATCAAAGACCTAGGAATTAGCCTAGAAATTTTCCAACAGCTAGAAGAAAACACAGGGTTAATATCTAACATAAAAGCAAAGGCAATTACTTCCTCAACAGGATTCCTAAAACTCAAGAAATAATTCTCAAGAACAGCAAAGGAAACAAGAGCATGAACAGAGAGCCTACAGAAGGGGAAAACATCTTTGTCAGCTACTCTTCTGACATAAAATTAATATCCAGAATAAAGACTCAAAAAACTTACCACCAAATAAATAAATAAATAAAATTCAATCAACAGGCAAATGAAACAGATATTTATCAAAAGAAGAAATACAAATGATTAAAAAGTACACTAAAAAAAAGTTCAATATCTTTAGTAATCAGAGAAATGTAAATCAAAACCACACGGTGAGAATATAGGATGAAAAACAGAACAAAACTCACAACAAAGATACAAAGGGTTAGAAAAAGGGTTAGTTAGGGGGAAATGGGGAGAATTGTGAACTGAAATCAAATTCTACACATGTACGATTTTGTTTGGATGAACCCAACTACTATGTATAACTGTAAAGCTCTAATAAACACACACACACACTATATATATATATATATGAATGACTTCATCTCACCCTGTTAGAATGAAAATCATCAAGAATACAAATATCCATAAATGCTAGTAAGGATTTGGGGGGGAAAGAAACACTTAATAATACACTGTTGGTGGGATTGTAAATTAGTACAACCATTATGAAAATTAATAAGGAGGTTCCTCAAAAGGAACTACCGTATAACCCAGCTACACTACTCCTCAGTATTTATCTAAAAGAATTTAAGTCAGCCTGCTAAAAGCAATCTATGCATTCCCATGCTTACAGCAGTGCAACTCACAATAGCCATGTTATGGAACCAGCCTAGATAACCATCAATAACTGACTAAATAAAGAAAATGTGATACGATGAGTTTTCTATAGCCATAAAGAAAAATGAAATTATGTTATTTGCAGGAAAATAGATAGAAGTTGAGAGCATTATGTCAAGTGAAATAAACCAGACTCAAAAAGTCAAAAATTATGTTTTCTTTCATATGGAAAAGTTAGAGAAAAATAAAAAAATCAAGGTGAGACTTCATAAAAATATAAGGAAGACCAGTGGAGTAGAAGAAGGGAACCAGGGGGAGGAAGGAGGGGAGGAAAATGGGAGGTACTAGGGAATAGGATTGACCAAATTATGTTATATGCATGTACAAATGTGTCACAAAACCACTATTACATATAATTATAATATACCAATAAAATTAATAAAAAATAAGAAAAAGCTCTTTTTACATGTCTGTTAGCTTAGTAAGGTATGGTTATTTCTATAAAGTCATACTACAAGACCTACAGCAGAAACTTAAATAAAAAATCCCAAGCAGTTTCCCAGTGCCAGTACCTAGGGTTGCAAAAAACATTTTCAGCAGTCTGTGCCTGAACTGAGACCCTAGAGTAGACTATGGTAATTCTCAAATTTCAGTATGCATCATACTTACCTAAAGGGCTCATCACACAGACTATTCCACCTACCCCGAAGTTCTGATTCAATAGGTATGGGGTGAGGCTCCAGAACTGGAACTTTAAACAAGTTTTCAGTTGACGCTGCTGCTGGTAGTGATCCAGAAGCCACACTGAGAACTACTGTATTATGGTTAGCAACAGACTGACATAACTTGGATGTCAGGGGTAAGGGTTAGCTGAGGGTAACTGACCAGAAGTATATTAGAACGATAGGCAAAGTTGAAGGCCATTAGCACAAACACCTTAACTTCTTCACTACCCTGTGCTGAAGATGTACAAGGGTGGCAGGGATGGGAATGGGATGTCATCATCTGGTCACAATGCCTTTTTCAAATATTAAAAACTACCAGAGACATGAAGCACATTATTTGTTAAAGGTTGGTCCTGGGCTTAAAACGTATTCATCCTACCATGGCCCCTAGAGCCAAAACAATGTGGTAATTAAGAGAAGAGGTAGTGGGTTCAAACTGCTTACATTCAATCTTGGCTCTTCTACTTATTAATAGTATACGCATGGCAAGTTACTTAGTTTCTCTGGACCTCATTAACTGTAAGAATCAAATGAGATCACACATTTACAGCATTTAGGACAGTGCCAAGCATGCAAAGAATGTTCAGTACAGGTTATCTAAGATAAATTCTCAAAGTCCTCAGCTTGGCATTTAATATTCCCTAATGAGCTCTTTTTCCAGTCTTTATTCATTCATACTATTTCTATCAAACCATCTTCTAGGTACTTACCTGTCCAAACTACTCACATTGAACCCGTCTGCTTTCTTATCACTTGCCTCTACATGCATCAGTCCTTTTTCTTCTCTGGTTATATAGGTTTCAAATATTTAATACACTTTCAATATAAAGTTTTTCATAACCACTTCAGACCTCAACATTCTTCCTTTACAAGCAATATCCAAACCACAATTTGCAGCAATCATTTTGGGCTCAGCACATCTGTCCTGGTGATTTTCCTTCTGAGTTTGCTTCAACTACTAAAAGCTCTCTGAAAGTAGAAATGACATCTCTTTTTATGAAATAAATGCACTGCAGTGGCTTTTGAGTCAGAAAGACCTGGGTTTAATACCTGTTTTGTTTTTTGCAAGTTATACAATTTAGATATGTTATTAACTTCTCTGATCCTCAGTTTTCCCTTTGTTATATAAGAGTAATATCATCCACA